ATTTTGAGAAGCAGAGGTTGCATTACAAAACTAACCTTGCAGTTAGACTAGCACGTATTTCATAGTGTTATAATATCTATAACACAATGTATAGTATCATATGTAATAGTATCAATAGTAAATAGTATGGTAATGGCTGTTACTGCAGATGTAAATATTTGCATTGTAGACCCATTTTTGTGGGAAATTTTGTATCCTGGAGCATAGCTGAAATGTAAGCATCCCCTGCTTATGAAAAATGAAGAAATAAAATCTAGGAAAAAATATACATTTCTGATGGTGATCCTGTAATATGGGATAAAGTATCTATTGCCATTCTTTTATGAACGCATTGGAGTCAGTGGTGTTATGTGCTCAGTTATGTCTATACTTCTTTTATGAAGGTACATAATTGAAATATGTGCCCATGCTTGGTTTGCTTAAATCAGTGACAAATTTGAGGGAATACAAAGCCAGTTATTCTGTACAAGTAGAAGGTTTTGTGTGGCTTAAGGGAGAGAGTATATTTGAGTTGATGGTGTAGAGAGAGATAACCCAAGATGGACAAGAGAAAGAAGCAAGCCAAATAAACACAGTGCGTGTGATTCTGGAAGAAAAGTGTAGGAAAGAAATCTTTATAGCAAGTGACAACCAATGAAGTGATGATTCAGCAAACAAAGGAGTTGCCCAATTTCGTTAGTTTTCTTTGTGCTCAGGGAAAGATAACCTATAGATATTCTTAAAGAAAAACACAGAAAAGGTCCTAGCCATTAACGCCCATATTTTCTTTGAACTGCTGCAGCTTGTAGTAGTAAACCTTTGGTTTTGCTGCTTGATCCTAAATAATGCTGTGACATAGGTCAGTCTTTCTATTAAATGAGCTGAAGCATATACTTGGCTTAAGATTTTTTCTTGTTTATATGCAGAAATGACAGATGGGTATGGATTGGAATGGATAAGAGGAGTCCAGATTCTCTGGGAACCTGGCAATGGAGTGATGATAGACCCGTAAGTTAACTTTTAACCAGGAAATGTCATGTCCTAATTTGTTTCAGCTTGGACTGCATTGAAAGTAAATTGATAAATATTTTAATTAAAATATGGCAGGTCCTTCAACAGATGAATAACACGAAAGAAGATTGTTCATTTAAGAGCTGCCATCCAGGCAGATTTCCAATTAAAAACATATCTTTAATAAGGTTGACCTGATTTCTGTCTCTATCGCCTTAAAATATTTTAACAGAAATATAGTAGAATCATAGAAACAACTAGATTGGAAAAGACCATTAAGATCATCAAGTCCAACCTTTCCTTTAGGACTGCCAAGTACACCACTAAATCATACTGCTGAGGGCCTCATCTATACAGTTTTTGAACACTTCCAGGGACAGTGATTTCACCACTGCCCTGGGCAGCCTGTTCCAAGGCCTGACCACACTTTTGGTGAAGAAGTTTTTCTAACATCCAGTCTAAACATCCTCTGGTGCAGGTTGACGCCATTTCCTCTTGTCCTATCACTTGTTACCTGGGAGAAGAGACTGACCCCCACCTCACTACAACCTCCTGTCAGGTAGCTGTAGAGAGAAGCCCCTCTAGTAGCAGGAAACATCTGAGAGCTGGTGGAGAGAACAAGATGTCTTCAATGCCATAACAGAGGGGAGGCTTTATCAGTTCATCTCCTTGATATGTCAGACTGCTCAGAAATGTTTCTCACTGTGACTGATTTATTTGCCTCAAATTGTGAGTTGTCCACCCTAACCCCAGTAACAGGTACTCAGACTCAAAACTGATCTAGTAACTGCTATTTAACAAGAGGAGAGCAGTTTGAAGGGGACACTGTGAATATAGTAACCTTCTTCACCTACTTGTTAGGTATAGATATTTTCTTTCACTAAATGATAAAAAATTCTCCTTACTGGAGAGGTCACCAAGAATGAACTGATTGTAAGAAATAAGCTTGAATAAGAAAGATTTCTTCTTTTTGGTTTCTTCTTTTGAGCAGACATGAGAATAATTTTGGGTAACAAATTGCAATAATAAGCATTGGTGAGATCCTGTGTGCTACAATCCTGTGTGCTACAAAAAACCACTAAAGAAACAACACTGCAAGAAGAGACTTCCCTGTGTAGGCTGGTCTTAAGCCCTTTACCTAATAGCCTCACAAGCTAGGCTAGCATGGAGAGTTATAGTTGAAATGTTACAGTTGTATCTGCTAATTTTTTGCAAAATAAGTTTTTGCAAACACTGTGCTCTGGTGTGGCATTACCACCACCATGTAAGCATCCCATTGTCTGCAAACACTTCACTAACAATTGTGCCAGCTCTTAGTTTTATGCATGGGACAGCATATCATTTTTTCACCTGATGAGAGGATTTAATTAGAAATGCATGATGGTCTGATAGCCTTTACTGAAAGGGTTTTGTAGTGTTCATAGCATGAATGTACATTCTCTTAAGCAACTCTGTTGCCACCTTTCTTCAGCACTACTGCTTATGAGACAATGCTTTGTGAAATCAGCAGCCTGCAAGCTCTCTTTATGAAATTTCTCCCAACAAGAAGTTGTCTGGAAGGAAAAATTCCAAGGCAGGAGAAATCAGGGATTTGACCTGCTACACCTCTAGCCTTTTCATGACCTATTTGTTGTTAGGATATCTGCTGGAAGAAAAGGATTATTCTTTGAGGAAGAAAGGAAGATCCTGTGGAACCACATCAGCTTTAGGCAGCTTGAAGCTATGTCCTGGTTGTCTGGTAGAGTTCCTGCAAAGAATTTTGTGGGATTGATGTATCTAGCACATGCTTAAAACAGTGCTGCAAGATTTCCTGGAGCTTTCTGCAGCACAGTGGAAAGTATGAGCTGTTTCTTATAGTAGGTACAGGGGTCCACCTACTTGCCTTGAGCAGTATCCCTTTGTGTTGCTGAGGAATAGTAATTCCTGAACATTTTAGGAACATTTTAAATGAAAACTAATTTTGACATTGATTTATTCTTGGTAGAGACTGGACCTCTTTTCTTACGGGTTGTAAGGTACTGGAGTGTTTGTTCTTTGTTTCCACAGTTATCAAAGAACAAACAGAAGTGGTGGCTGAAATTTATTGATTATGGCTACAATTATAATTTATTTCCTAAAAACAAAACAAAACAACAGCTGTGCAAAACACTGAAGAATATGCCCCTGTTCTTCAATCTCAAATAGCCAAGGAGATTTTCTCACCCCTAACACAAAAAAATCTTCTTGATTTCAGTGCCAAATACTTCTGAAGTTCTAAGTGTCCAGACTGGAAGTCTGGATGGAAGAGTTGTGGTCATAAAAGTTCGAAAAGGGGATATTTTTATGAATAGGAGGTTGACAATATGTATGTGTAGAACAATATATTATTAGTCTAGGCTGACTAAAATACTAAACACTTCTTCCCTGCCGCAGCTGTAAAAGACGTAATGAGAAATGTTTTAGGACTGCCAGAGAATGTGTCCTGGTATGGTCTGGTCTGATGTCCTTGTATGAGGGATCTAAGTACAATTCACATTGGAAGGGACTTCAACAAGTTACAGGGACAGCTGTGAGAGAGTCCAGGTTGCATTGGACTTTATCCTAGGGAAAAAGATGATTCATGTTCCTTGGAAATCTTAGCATGACTATGATTTGCACAACTTCTTGAGATATGAATCATTGGCAATTACTTCTTTCAGAAATGGACACGTCCATCACTACTTTTGTTTCCAATTTGGTACCCTATGATGTGTGATGGCACCCTTAGTTCCATGGTTCTATTTTGTAGCTGTTTACCAAGTGAAAGCATTTAGCAGCAAGAGACAAACCACTCGAAACATTGTGTTTCAGCCTTGTCACTTTTCTGATCTATTGAAAGCTGTAATTGTCAAATTAATACTATGTTTCTGTCTTCCTGTATTTTGGAAAATGGCCTTGTCAGTCAAGCAATCCTTTATATGTTGTTATTTATAGCATGATTGTGCCCTTCCCCACAAATCTTTTTCTGTTTGAGGTATTTTAAATGTCAGGGCATCTCTCCTTTTTAGAGAGCCAATTTATTTTTGGTCAAGTACAAATTTTTCTGGAGTTACCAGGTTTATATGCTTTAATTTGCAATCCATGGAAATGATTGCATCTTTTATTAACTGCAGTTGCTATGCATCCCTGAGCTGCATGCCTTCAAGTATGAGGCTGGTAACTGTAATAGCGCTCAACGCTTAGAGCATGAACAGTGAATTATACCTCTCCTTATGCAAGGTGGATTTTCTGCAATTAGTTAAGCACATGTGGAGGTAAAATCAATTCCCACTATATTCATGGATGTCAATAAGGAATTCTGGGACTGTGCTGTGCTAAGATCTGCATAGACAAGTTTCATAGCCCATTAGATTCACATAAGCATAAGTCTACAGGCTCCACAGAGATAAATGAGTCAAGTTTAGCTGTCGCTGTATTGCAACGGAGAGCAGTTGCTCTCTCCCATTCATGTATTTAATTAAAATTATAGAATATGGGTTTAATTCAATGAATAGAATTCTTAACATAATTTTGTAGTTAGTAAAAAAAAATAGCAAATATAAGAAGATATGAACCTAAACTGAAAGAAATATATATAAAAATAATCCTTATTCTTTTATATATTTTTCTAAGGTGTTACTGATATTTTGATAGTTACTTCTAACTATAATTATTAGCATAATCTACTAAGATTTAGTTTGTTGGGGTTTTTTCCTCCATGGGAATTCAAACAGGTTTTTCTGTTCATTACAGAGAACCTGGAAGTTCTGAACGTATTCCAGTGTTTAACCACTTAGTCACTGGATTTCTTTCTTATGTATAGGAACTGCTGATAACCAGACAGAGCAAGTCCTTAATGAAACATTGAGCTATTAGTGTACTTGGAAACTATACTGAAAAATTAAAATAGATTTGATTTTTATAACTAAAACTTACATCTTTTAATCTAAATTAATGTTTTATAGATGTTTCTATGTATGCATTTTATACGAGTTCTTAGTAACCAATGGCTTCTTCTTCTCCTTTAGTTTGCTGATAGCTGGTTTGCTTTTTGCATGAAAAACTTGATTTAGAGTAAGCCCTACTTAGCAACAACTGTTGTATTATCACCAATATTCTCTCACTAAATCCAAGACTCAGCACTGTACCAGATACTGGAAAGAAAATTAACTTTATCCCAGCCAAAACCAGGACAGCTTGTTTGATTTTGTGTCTTTTATAGTAATCCAAGAAAATGTACCAAGAATACAAAAAATGAAAAAGTGAAGTAGTTGTTCAGCCTTTGAAACATAAACCTCTTAGCAGTACCTGAGAATAGAGACATAGAAAATAATAATGAAGACACTCCATTTCATTAATTGCTTCTCATTTTTGGACTCATAATTTATTGCTTTACTATAGAAGTTTGCAAAAGTACTATCTGAAATTACATTTCATCTCCTATATTTTGTGAGCAGAACCCTTCATCATTGTTCATTTACAAACTCGTCAGCCAAGACAATCTTACAAACTGGTTGCTGATGAAGCCATTTGCTACTTTCATAGGTTCATTCTGGATTTATCCAGAACCCAATGTCAATAAAACAGTTACTTCACCAAAAATTCGCAAACTTCAAATGTTTTATTCTGAGACTCAACACTTATTCCCATCTCTAGGCCATTCTGGAGGATGTGTGGCTATACGAGGGCAGGAGCCCATTGGTTACTGGGAGGTGAAAAGCTGTGAGAACTTCAAAGCAATGTCATTGTGCAAGCAAAAAATCAACTCTTACGAAGAACCTGAACTTACTTTTCAAAAGCATTTGAGTTCCTGCTATTTTGGATGGGAGTCGGAAGCTCATCTGCTCAGCTGCTACAAGGTATGTGACAAACTTGCTTTGGATTTTTCTGATGCTACATACCAGCTTAGGGATAGTCTGTTCCTAAAACATTTTTGGGAAAGCGTTATTTCTTTCAGCCAGCAAACAAAAATTAACAGTTACCACCCATCGCTGCTTTGGAAAGTGAATGAAAGTCCTGAGAATCAGAACTAGATTTGGAATTCATACGGCTTTGGTGTAGGAAAACCTGTGAACAATATTTGATTTTTATGGGTTTCTGAAACAACTGCTCTCCAAAATCAACAGCATTTATGACAGTGTTTATTTTATTGCAGATATTTCACAATGAAAAAGTTCTGATGAGAAGAACATGGGATGAAGCAGAAGCGTTATGCCAAGATTTTGGAGCACATCTTGCTAGTTTTAGCAATATCTATGAAGAGATATTTTTAAACAATTTATTATATACAATTTTTGATAGGTAAATCTGTATTTTTAACACCAATAATATTTATCTTGATAATAGTAATATGTAAAAATAATCCACAACTTTGATTCTTCCATCCTCTTTACCAGTGGCTGAAGAAGTCTCTACTCTAGCATGAACTTGGAAATGGGTGAAAAATATATTAGCAATACTGCAGTGTGATTCTTTTTGAAGATGATCTTTACAGTAGCTGTTGAGCAACTGTAAATGTCAAGGTGATGTTCTTGTGAGCTAACATTCCCCACTGAAATGAAGGTTTGTCAATTTTAATCCTGGTTTAAATGTTTTCATCTTTTAAAATATAATTCAACATTTCAGTAGGAAAACCAGAGTTTACTTCGAGGGTACTAAAATGTTAGGAAATATATTGCAGAATGATCCATTGAATTCAAGCAGAAATGACTACGGGTGTTTGCACTATTTAAACAGTAATTTCTGATTTAGTGAAGGAAAAAGTGCATAAGAAATGACATTTTTCTTTGTTTCCATCATAGGACAGAAGAAAGACAGTTCTGGATTGGATTTAATAAGAGAAACCTGCTTTCTGGAGGGACATGGCAGTGGTCTGACAGAACACCTGTAACTGTCTGCATACTGTATATTTCAGAAACCGGTCAAGTCATATCTGAGCATAAGTTCACAAAAATAAGCCTTGTGATCAAATGTTGGCCAGGAAAACCGTTTGGCATTCATGCCCACATAGTCCAAGTAATTCTTACAATAGGATTAGCAGTACACAACTATGAAAATAGCAGCCTGTGCAAAAGGGCTGTGCAACTGTGAAAAGGAATTTGGTAGGATTATGAAGTCCTGCAGATACGTGCTTTCCTGCGAAGCACATTGTGTTTAGGCTGAGACATATGCACGTGTGTGCATATTCATATGTATATTTACATATATAGACGTGCATACACATTGGAAAGCCTCAGAGCTGTGCTCACGTGCTTTATTTGTCCTATGACTGTTAGGCTGATGCCTGCATTCAGAGCTAAGTCTTTCCTTTTTTAATACCACTTTTGTACAACAACTGAGGAATTAGAAATTTGGAGATGCTCAAGATAAGCTTATATGGTTCAAAAATATTCCTTGTAACCTTACCTGTGACCTTTCTTACAGGCTAGCCACAGTATTCTCATGAGCATCCACCAGCAGAGCTGCTTGAAGTCAGCAGTAGTGCAGGTTTCTTCCTTATAGCTTAGCAGATGCATCTCATTATCTTTTCTCATCTCATGCTACTTGCAGCCACAGACCTTATTTGGGATATGCCACAAGCACTGTAGGCCTCATCTGCAACACCCTCTGCTTCTGCAGATCAACTCTTGTGACAGCATAGGATTCAGAAAAGATCAGGAAGGGCTGAGATCCACCGAACTACTTTGGCTTTGCTTCTAAACATAGCTGTAAACCAAGCATGTTAGACATGAAACGCAGGATCCCCAGTCTCCTTGTTCTTTTCCTTGCTCTGATGTTTAATATTCATTCTCCAAACAGGCCTAATATTTTTCATCTCTGCTGCCCATTACATTATCAGAAACGATGGGGCAAATGCTGTTATTCCACTCACTTAGGTCCTGACATCTAACATTCAACAGTGTTTGGCCATCACTCCTTGGCTTGCATCAGTGTCGCCTAGAAACCTGGAGTGGGACCACTGAACTACTAACCCCATGCAATCTCCTTACATGACAAGGCCAGACCTCTCTTTTATTTCCAGTACACAATTACTTTCCTGAGTCACTCAGGCTCTGAGAGCAGTTACTTTTAGGGGCCTGAGGAAAAAGGAAACTGGAGGAAGATTCAGACTTTCTGAGGTTATTTCTTCACTGCAGAAACATCTTGAGCACCCTTTCTCTGGTCCACACAACCCCTACCCACACCTGAGTTCAGTAATGCTTTCAACCTGGGCTAGCTTGTCTGTCTAAGGCTAGTGGCTAAAACTACTAGCCAGTTAGAGACAACGCTCCATGAAGAGACTAGAGATGAAGCTTTTCCTTCCCACAGCTTTTCTAGAAAACAGAAGACCCCTCTTTACACATTTGTGAAGAATCACAGAGATTCAGCTTGATACAGCACACAGGAATTCTTTTCTCTAAATGCTGGCTATGCAATGCAGCACAGGATAAGTGAGAGAGCAATTGTCCAAGTTAGATTTTGTAGCATGGCTGCTCACTTTCAACAGAGCTAAGTAGCTTCTGGTAATCTGAACTAACTCTGCAGTGACTTGCTTTCCAGGAACACATACCATCAGCAGTTCATGTTGGCTGTTCCTATGTCATGCAACCAGGTGTAGCACCTCTTCTGGATCAGCCACCCCCTTGTTCATTAACTCAAGGCATTCCCAAAGGTTTTCTCTCCATCCTCTCCCATGAGGAGAGCCAATAAGTGCTGTCCTCCTCCCTCCCCAGCATGCTTGTCCTATGTTTCAGGCCACCCAGGAATGTGCACTGCAAACACAGGCCTGCAGAACAAGCCCAGCCACAGTGTGAAGGATTCAAAAGCAGGATTATGTATTACTTTTCCTTTCCTCTCATTCTCTCCCTTCCAGGCTTGTCTGGGACTAGAGCGGCTAGCTGGGTTCTCCAGCCTTCTTTTTCTTCATGGGAGAACATGTGCAAAATCTCCAGGTGCTCACAGAGAAACACTTCAGACTCTCCAAGAAAAAGCAGAGCCCCCAGCTTTCACAGAAAGAACACACCATGAGCTCCAGCTGCATGAAGGAAGGTTGGTTTGGACTTTGTGTGAAACCACACAAGCTGCACTGCTTAAAGACTTGGCATCAGACCCAGCTGCACTGATATTTTTGTCCCCAGAACCTACAGTTTTGTACATCCAAAGTTTGTGCTGAGTCCAGTCAGAAAACAGCTTCTCCTTGAAGGGTAGGAGCAAGCCTAATGACATGGAGATATGTCTCAAGCAGGGCTATGAATCCCTCATCCTGCATCAGTATTCATTCCTGATGGTCTAGCAAAAGGCTGGGCAACCCCTACCCAGAAAGAGTTGGCAAGTGCCATCCCTGCAGCTGGGATATCTGCTGTGTTTGGGAGCCACGGCTTCAGGAGTAATGATTTCTTAGTGTACTTGTGGGATCACACTGTAAAAGTGGCTGCTGCAAAAGGGGGAGCACAGGCAGAAAGCAAATGACAGGGTGTGTGCAAATCAGAGCATAGATGACATGCACACACACATGCACAGTCCCTACTAATATCCTGAATTCTTCCTTGGGAAAAGAAATGCTTTCTCCCTGTATGCCTTTAACACAGGGATTAAGTTTGAGGCTAGCCTGGGCCATTCAAAGAATAACCAGACCTGTTTTCCCAGCATTGTCAGCAAACTGAGCTCTGTATGTGTGTGTGAATGCAGATTCACTCTGGAATCTCAGAGCACTTCAGTTCTTTCCAAGATAGGCCCCAAGGATACTTAAATAATTTAGTATGAAATTCTACTTGTAACTTTCTATTTCCCTTCCTCCACTTTCATTCTGAGAGCATCTGTAAAGGGGCTCCATTTTCCAGCTCATCACAGAGTTTTCAGCAAGTTTTATGTTGTGACCCATTTCTAATCTCACCACGCTTCTGTCCTAAACTAAAAAAAAAATCCCCAAAAGGATGTGCAAATGCATATTCAATCCTGACTTCTTTTAAAGCTAACTGTATTTTCTCCCACGCAGTCCTCCTTTGTACTTACAGCATCCATATCCTGTTCCAGAGAGACTAATGCTGCGGGGCCTTCTTTGCCCCAGCCAGCCGTTGCCTGAGCTTAGCTTTGACTTTGTGTGTCCTCAAAGTTTGATACTTCCTTCTGCAGTTCCTCCAGCTTGTGACAGCCCCTCTAAGTCCATTCAACACCCCCCTTTGGCAAACTGCTCCCAGACCTGATAGCCATGTTTAGCACCAGCAAGGATGGCTCTGCCTTTTACCCCAGCCCTGGTGACTGGAGGAACAGGCACACACGGCCACTCTCCTGCACAGGGCACGCTGCCCATGCGTGCATGTGCACAAACTGCCGCTCATTCTGCTCCCTCACCTCCTTTCCCACACCCCTCTGGATGGGAGTCTGGGAGAAGTGTCCAAGGCAAGTCCCACTTCTACTTTCACTCCTTGCTGAGTACTGCTGTGTGCATGTGTGTGTGCATGCACAGGTACATGTGTACAGATGGCTGGCTCAGAGAAATCCAGTCCAATGGGGAAGCTAGGACTTGCATACTGTAATCCACCTCTGGCCCCTTCTTCCTGGAAAGCTCTTGTCCCCCAGTCTGCCTCCATTCAGGAGTGACTCCAATGTCCTAGGGAAAGGAAAACAACTACTGACTATATATTCACAACCCTTGCTATTCACCCCCTCCAGAGGTGGGTTTTGCTGCTGTGTGCAAGTTCCGAGTCTCTGTGTACCCCATACGTGCCCTCTCTCCGCATTCTTCCTCCTGCTGTAGCCACAGTCAGTAAGCCTTGCCATGAAGCTGCCCATCTGAGACCAAGGGGAAGCTGGGGGAGAGGCTGCTGCAGAAGTGGAGCAATTATTTTTTTAAATCTTTTCTTCATTTTGTGTCACTCATCCCAATGCACTTTGCTGACACGAAAGACAAAACGAGCACTATCTCTGTGGGACCACGAATGGGACGGGACGGGTGCCCGCCTCAGTGGTGGCCAAAGCTTGGCCTCCACACATTGGCCTGCATCCCTGTTCTCGCAGCTGAGAATTTGGGCCTGGCCACCTGAAACCGAGAGGCTGAGGCTGGGTTTGGGGAAGGCCCCTGGGCTGCCATACCAGGCTCTGGGGAGCTCTGGTATGGCTTAGGGAACTGGCTAAGCTCTACCTGGAAGGGTGCTGGTGTAGTGGGAGCAGAAGAGGCCATTTCTGTTCTCCACACTGGCTCATCCAACGTGGTGGCTGAGCGGGGCATAAGCACAGTGGGTGCCATGCTGCTTGAGGCTGGCATGGGAGCTGGGGTGGAGAAGCGACGAATCTCCTGGGTCTTGGCTGTTTTCACAGGTATCTGCTTGGCTGCTGTGAAGGATGAGCTAGCCTGTGCGGCTGGCTGACCAGGAGACTCCTGAATGCTGGGGCCTGGGGGATCCCCAAAGCAGAACATGGCTGACTTTAATTGATAGGGCTGGTGGCGCATTAAATCAATGACCTTGATCCCTGATTTCTGGCCAGGTGCCTTTTTCACTTTGCTCTCTGCTTTGCTAGCCTGAGATTTGCTGGCTGCCAGGGGATAGAAAGGGGAATGCATTGGGTTGTAAGCTATTGGAGGTGGAGCCCGGATGTTGGGTGAATATTTCCAGGATGAGGGCAGTGAAGGGGAAGGAGAGGGGGTCCTGGGCTTGGACTCTGGCTTTGGTGTTGTCTCTACCACATATTTGTCCATGCGGCTCTGGCGTTTGGCAAAGAGCTCTGCGCCCTTGCCTTTAAGCTGAGGCATGTCCTGGGCCCCATTTACCAGCCCAGTGTCTTGCTGCTGAGGCTTAGGAGCCACTGGAGGTGGGGTCTTGAATTTGCGGCCAGAGGACTGCATGAAGTTGCATGCCTCAGCACCCAGGCTGAGGAAGTCCTCCTCAGGCCCAGACTCGAAGCCTGCCCCAGGGTGGTCACTTTTCAGCTTCTCATCCAGGTTCTGCACCAGAGACAGGAGTTCAGGGTTGGGTGAATTCTTCTTCTTCTCCTCAATCTTACTGAACATGGGTTTTCTGTTGCCGCGTCGGCGAGCCTCCTGCAGGATGCCTGTGCGGGGAGCCGGCACAGAAATCCTCTGCTCTCTGGAGGTTAAGGGCTCGGAAGGAGGTCGTGGCGTTGCGGGTGAGATGGCAGGAGAAGGCTGATTTGGTGTGGGGGAGCTGCTTATTGTGTGCTGTGATGGTGC